TTGTTAGAACTCGATAATTATCCTAATTATATTTTAGATTTTTTATATTTTAAAATAAGATGTTTATCCTTTATTTGATTATATTTATCCGCAATTAGTTATAGCTTTAATAAGTTGTACTTACGCACATTCTACTTGTAATCTTGAGTTTTAAGTAATATGCATTAATAAACAGTACTTTACGCATAAAAAATAGTTTTTAAGAGTTTTTATCAAATGCTTTATAATATAGTATAATTTTTTTATATAATATAATTTAAGTTTAATAATGAAATAATTTATTTTTGGTTTAATAATATAACATTTTATAAGATAATAATTAAATATTATGTTAGAACTCAATGATTATCGTAATTATATTTTAGATTTTTTATATTTAAAATGAGATGTTTATCTTGTATTTGATTGTGTTTATCTGCAGTTAGTTACACGAATTCAGATATGGAGCTTTAATAAGTTGTACCTACGCACAATTTACTTGTGATCTTGAGTTTTAAGTAATATGCATTAAAAAACAGTAGTTTTCGCATAAAAAGTGGTTTTTAAGAGTTTTTGTCAAATGATTTATAATATACATTATTTTTTTACATATAATTTAATTTAAGTTTAATAATAAAACGATTTATTTTTGGTTTAATATTATAAATTTTATAAAGATAATAATTAAGTATTCTGTTAGAATTTAATGATTATACTAATTATATTTTAGATTTTTTATATTTAAAATGAGATGTTTATCCTGTATTTGATTATGTTTATCTGCAGTTAGTTACACGAATTCAGATATGGGATGAAATCGGATAGGGATAAAATTATTTAAGGATGAACGGGTTTTAAGAGTTTTTAAGAATTTTAGCCAAATGCTTTATAAGATAGTATATATATATATATATATATATATATGAACTTGTACAACAATGTGAGGGAAAAGTACAAGTTTACGCAACGTAAGAAGACAGCTCATACGATTGACTAGTCAACATCAAGGGTTCAAACCTAACTC